AGCGGTTGTAAATCTAGCGTAGGTCTAATTTTAGTGGTTTTAACTCTAGCGCAGCTCTAACTTTAGCGGTTGTAAATCTAGCGTAGGTCTAATTTTAGTGGTTTTAACTCTAGCGCAGCTCTAGCTTTAGCTGTTATAACACGAGCGCAGCTCTATCTTTAGCAGTTATAATTCTAGCGTAGCCCAAACTTTAGCGACGGTGGTCCTAAGGTCCACCTCAGCCTGTCAGCCTGCTCTGCGCTCCTCAGTGACCACCTGCTGCAGGTACCTGAGTCAAAACGCAGCTCTGTCCCTCGGCTCTGACGGTGTACTCTCCAGGGATCTTGCTCAGCTCCTCTTGCTGCAACAGCAGCCTGTTGCTCTGGCTCACAGTGAACTCCTTCCTCGGGCCTCCCACAGTCGTCACCGTCACTTTAGTGATTCCCTGTGGACTGTAGGTGGCGGCGGCGTACTTGGCCAGGGCCTGGAGGGCCACCACTGTGTCCTGTAAAGCAGAGCGGGTTTGGTCTCAGCTCTGGTTCCTTGAAGAACCTGGTTTCTCAGTAGCTGATGGATAGAAGCATGCGGTACCTGTGTGGAGGAGAAACCGCCGTACGGGTTCTGCTGTTGAGCGAGCCAGCGGATGATCCCTGAGGCGTAATCCAAACCAAAACCATTCAGTGGGGGAGAAGTGAGCAGGGCCAGCAGCACATAGGAGGTCATCTCCACTGCTATAGAATCCATGCCGTTGACAGACGATTCAACTCTCTCCCAGTGAATGGTACCACCTGCCAATCAGGATACAGGAGTCATGACAGCAGGACCAAGCATATCTCAGTGAGGAAGATCACAGAATGCTCACATAGTGATACCATATCAGAATCCTGGCCATTAAAGCAGTTTAACCTTTATTAGTTTAAGATTCTACCTCCTTCATTAGAAAAAAAAGCTGGCGTTCTGCCGCTGCTCTCTTACCCTCCTTCTTGGCCTCCAGGTCCAGAATGCTGATCAGTTTGCTCCTCATCTCCTGATCTCCAGCCAGGCTGAAGGTGTACGACATCAGGGCCGTGGTGTACAGGTTGTCGAAGCCTTTGACCACGGCATCCTTTAGACAACCCAGGCCCTTCTGCACCACGGGGTCCTGAGGCAAAGGAACCAAACATAAAGGCACCATGAGGCCCTCTTCTCTTTGACAGCTTACTGAGACAATTACACCTAAAGTTCCAGTAAACTAAAAAAATAAGTTTCTTTCACCCTCACCTTCTCCAAATGCCTCACTAAACTAGTTTGAGAATAAAATCAACATGAAGTGGAGGCACTGAAAGGACTAAATGTGGAGCCAAGGGCAGTCTGACTCACCGTGGATCCTCCATTCAGCTCCAGCAGGGCAGCAACAATGTAAGCCGTCAGCGACACCTCGTCACTCACCCCTCCCTGTGGAAACCACACGGACAGCATGAGGACAGGCCTTGTGTCCCTCTGTGATGTCCCACTCTGGGACATATTTAGGAAAGAAGCAGTGTTTTTTCTGTCATGGCTGCCATCAGCTCACTGTTGTGTAGAAAGTGTCACTTCTGAACCAGAAGCAGATAGAAATAGAAGCTTCCAGACAGTTTTCTTTCAGTTTTTTTGTTTTGGTAGAACAGGAAACTCAAACTGCAGTAATTAATTAATCTAAAATCCTGGGACGTCCTTATAAGTCAGTTAGGCAGACACCCTGTCTACTTTTAAGGCTAGGCTTAAAACTTTCCTTTTTGATAAAGCTTCTAGTTAGAGTGGCTCAGGTTATCCTGA